ACTAAGGAAGCTTAAAAAGGGTCAAGTCCAAATAAATGATGAAATTAGCACAATAAGAATAATAGCTCAAATATTTTTCCCCTTTCATCTTGTTTGTAAATATTTATCTTTATCTTGTTTATCTTCATTTTTATCTTTTATCTTTTATCTTTATTTTTTATCTTTACCTTTTATCTTTATCTTTCTCATGTTTATCTATTTCTTTATTTTTTTATATCTTTTTTTGTAAATATATGCTTATTTATTTTAGAATGGCTTTAATATCTATTGTTTGTTTGAATTCTTGCACCTGTTTGAAATAAATAATTGTACACAAACTCTTGCACACAACAGTTCGTATTAAGTTAGACAAAGCAATTCTCAACAAGGTTTTGAATGAGACAAATATAATACATGTTGTTATTTCTAACAAGTATGTTAGTGTTTTAGAAAAACATAAGTACAGGTGTTGGTTCTTTGAGCAAGCGCACCCAAGTCTCTGTAATATAGTAAAAGGTTGTCGATCTTCAAGGACTTGTGAAGTAGATCTTGATTTCTGTTATACTAATTGTTACTTGCAATTTCAAAGTTTGAATATTCACACATATTAAATATTTGATATGAGCAGTGACTTAAACTTAAGTAACCAAAGTCATATTAAATTTAAGAAAACAGATATGATGAATACTTGGGATTAAATTTCATCAATCTCCCTCCTATGTATTCCTATTGATTCTTGTAAATGATTCCATTACTCATTGCCATTGAGTTCTCTATATTCATTCAGACCCAATTCCTTGTCATAAGAAATTCTAAGATATTTAACTCAATGAATGATTCCCCACTTCATTCAGTTAAATGTCTTGCATTAAGAATCAGAACTTGTTGCAACTATTAATTTCAAAACCATCCCTGGCTTTCAAAACTAATAGGTGATTTGTTTCAAATCTAGATTCAGAAAACGTTTTCCAACCAAATTCTAAATCCAAGATCAAAGATAAATGATCAGTTTATCAAAGCATTAAGAACAGAATACAAATCACTGACACTGAGTAATAGATGTAATATATATTTGAATTAAAAAGGAATACAAAGGAGTTTGATGATTACATTAATCCCAACCCTAGAGCTTTAGCTCTCCATAGAAGAAGAAATCACAAAAGTGTAATAAGAAAGGTAGAAGAAAGAGATCCTCCTAAGAATCGCGTTCCCACGAGCTCTAAAGTGCTCTGTTTCCCTCCTTTGTCTCTATTCTTCTCTCGTGTCCAGTCTCCCCCTACTTTCTCTCTCCTCTGCCCTTTTATAGTTGCTAAAATTAAAATAGAGTAGGCAAGAAAGAGAAGGAACCGCTCAGCGCCTCAAAACGGTTGAGCGCTTGGGGATGGCTAACGCCTCTCCTCTGTTGCACTTGCTAAGCTCTGGCTTGAAAGAGCTCAGCCCTTTAGAAGGATTGAGCCGTTTTGCTCCAGACTTAAAAAGCTACAAAATAAGAGGAAAATCTTATTACAAGACTCATCACTCCCTGTAATAACTTAAATTAAGAGCCCCTCTTTGATTCCATGTGTATTTTCCAAAATTATATCAGGTATATACAAAAATTGTGCTAGATAAGTGTCTCAAATTGATATTTCATCATACTAATTATACACTTATCAACAGGCAAGACGAAGAATAGAGCATGTGCATGTGTCACTTCCTACACCAAAACTAAGATAAAGGGTAAAAGCTTCAAGCATCAGATGGAAAGATCAACGAAGCCAAGCCTAGCACAAAAAGGAAAATGATCAAGCTTCAGACGATACAGATCACAGACGAAAGGCCAAAACAAAATATCAATCAAGGCTAAATCAAGAACAAGACAAAAATGGTTAAGCACTGGATGAAGTCCGAACAGACGAAGGATAGCAAATGAAGCTCAATGGTCTACCAGACAAAGACTAGTCAAAGCAAAGCATACAACAAGGATCAAACGAAGCAAAGCCAAATGATAGATGAAAAATGACATTAGCATCAGACGATGATAAGTCAAATAACAGACGAAGGTGTGTCAAGGACAACCTAGAGCACAACATAAGAACTCAGATGAAAGATGGTCAAAGAGTAGAAGAAAGTCAACTAAATATCAGACGAAGGACAACACAGACTAACCAAATATACTACTTTATCCATATAATAATTAACCTATTAGGAAGAACTATACCTATTTATCAAATAAAAACAAAAAAATTTATTAAAAATATTATCTACATATTTTTCCATGTAATTTTATTGTAGTTTTCAATAAAAAAAATTTCTATATTAATTCTTTCAACAATGTCCTAAAGACTATGAACTTATGGTTAACAAGATCCTTAGTTTTAACATACATATTGATTACATGTTCAAGAAACACTCCTTTCCTTCCATAACTACTACATAGATTAAAGATAATAATAAATATATCAATTTTTTTATATATAATTTTACTAAAATAACTTACTTTCTCTATAAAATTGAACTCATTGTGGAACAAAGAGAATATAGTTACCTATCAACTATGTTGGTGTGTATTTATTTGCTACTCCCTTTGGACCTCTCTATATATAACTAACTCACATAGATTAAAATAAAATATAAATATAATATATTTGTAATAATATTCTTATTTATTGTCATAAGATTATTTTAAGATTAAAAATATTAAATAAAGTTGAATTAGTTAAAATTACTAATCTTAAGAATATAAAATTTTCTTTTTTTTTTCTTATACATAAAATTGACCCTTCACAATCGGTTCAATCGATCACTCTCATTTGAGAACTTTCTTAAATCGTAAGTTTGATATACAATTAAAATAAGGGAAGTGACAGTTTTGTTTAATTTGAAGTAAGAAATGATCCGGTTGGGTATTTCAGGTCAACGTCAATTTTTCATTTAATTATTGGATTGGTTTCATGTACAGCTTGTTTGTTCAGAAATGAGGAACTCATGCACATGACTATGTTGATATTGCAATCACAGCATTCACATTTGCACCAAGAAACCAGTATCTCGTGGAAGGAAAAGCACAAAACCCATGCTGTAAAATGGCCCACGAGCACCAGAGAGAAGAAATATATAGGAAAAACAAAGTAGATGTAACCCAATATTTGAACTTAATTTTTCATAATAGCAAACAAAAAAAAACTAATTTTTCACTCTAATTAACATTCTTTTTAATTTTCTTCTTTTATCTCTGATGATTATAAGACTCAAAATTCTAGTTTCATAATTAATAATATGTATTTATAAAAAGAAATAAATTGAACTTGTCTGACAAATTAAAATTAATTTATGCATATAATTTTTTATTAAAGAGATTTAATTTAACTTTTGCAAAAATTAAATGCATAAATTGAATTTATATTTATAAATAAAATTGGCTCCTTTAATTTAGGTTTAATTGCATTTTGTCCCTCAAATTTTTATGTTTTAGCATATTTTGCTATGAAATAATTTTTCTCACAAATTTTACTCCCATATTTTGAAAATGTTGTAAATGGTAATATCGTTAATATTATGTTAAAATACAAAATAGAACATCATATTTATTTGTATTTTGTATCCACAAACTATCATGAAATTTGCCATCACATAATTTTTTTTTTGACGAATTTTGATCCCAAACTTTTATAATATTGTGAATTGTAACCCTTTAACACATTATATGACATAAAATTTTAAACAACCATTTTAAAATTATATTATTCTTATAAGATAACTTTCTCTCACACACATAAAAAAATATAACAATACGCATTAATATAGATATCACATATATTTATATAAATTAAATAGATGATGTCTATGACCGAGTCTACATTAAGCTCAAACCAAACTAGAATATTTTTTTAAAAAACTAAGTCAAGTCAAAGTTTTTATTAAAATATATTTAGTTAATATCAAAAAGTCTAGTTATTATCAAAAAGTCTAGTTAGACTTAAATTATTTCTACTCCTAAAATTATCATATTAATTTTATTAATATATTTATATCAATTGTATTAATGTACTTATTTATATATATATATATATATATATATATCATATTTTTGTTGTTGTTGGTCTTACTACAAATATCTTTCAATCCACTAGATCAGAGACTAATCTTATTCATAGTATTGTAGTTGTTATTGGTCTAACGATTTTTTACATATAGCAACAAACATGGATTCTTTGCTAAATAGATCATTCTCACAACGTGTAACTATAAGATATCTAGCCAATACATCAATCACTAAATATATGTGTGATATTTGTATTAATGTACCGAATTATCTAATACTCACAAGTTATATCTTATACGAATTCTAACACAAATTTAAATTAGTTGTTTACAATTATGTTAAGTGTAGTATGACAAAATGTTATAATTAACATTTGTAAAATTTAGGATAAAATTTGAAAAAAAAAATTATAGACAAAATTTGAAATAATATTAAAATTTGAGGACATAAAATACAATTAATTGTCATACTCATGTCAATATTCTATTCGTATTTTAATAGAATATTAACGAAAGGTACAATTTGCAACATTCAAAAAGTTTGGAGGTGAATTATGAGAAAAAGTTATTTGTGACAAAATATGTGAGAATGTGAAAGTTTGGAACACAAAATGTTTTTTATTTATTAATCCTTCCTAATTAAAGTCTAGCCATTTTATTTATTATTTTCCTAATGAAAGGCTACACATTTTCTTTATTATTTTTCCAATTATTACTTTTTAAAAATTTATCTCATGGAAACCTTTTTTACTCCTAGTTTACATGGTGAAAAATAACATCATCCCATCGACGGCCCATATCATTGACACTTGACCAAGTTTTACGTTTTTGTACCTGCCACCATTTTTTTTATCCAAACTTGAGACGATGAGTTTTTTTTTTTTTTTTGTTTTTACACAATTTAACAAATAGATAGAGTTATAAGCTGAAAATAAACTCTCTTTTTTTAAATACTAATAACCAAACTACCGATCTTGAGAGAAAAAAAGAAAAAGAAAAACACACAAATCCAGTTCTTCCTTCTTTGTTTATACAAATTATTTGTATTCAAAAGTCAGGATATAACCACAAATTGAAGGGAAATGAACAGAGAACAGGTCATTGTTAACTGTTGCGTACAAATAATAATAATAAAAAAAAAAGTTGCTTTGAAATTGAGTCATGAAGAGAAGTCCTAAGGAAACTATTGACAAAGTCCTCTTCACAGCAAGAGGATCTACCATGTATTCAATCAGCCTAATCATGCAACTATTGAACTTTGTTGTCACCAATAATCCCTCTGTTTCTAATTTCTCTCTCCTTTTTCTAAAAATTACTTAAAATAAAAGGAATAAGAAAAAGAAGAAGAGAGAGAGGCTTAATCACACAAATATTCACAGAATTTTTTTTATAAAAAATAAAAATAAAAATCAATAAGAGTAAGTCAATCTTTGGGCCACACGATCTCTGAGAATTCCATTATAGAGGGCTACCCTATTAGCAGGCATTCCTCTAACATCACAATTCTTCTCAGTCTCAACCTTGGATTCTGATTTTGAATAGAAAGAGTTTCTATTTACACGTTGTTGCCTCCTAAACTCTTCTCCATTTCCACATGAATCAACCACATCATCTGCAAAGTGCACCCTCTTCTTCTGCTTCTTCCTTTTCCCCCTCTTGTTTTCATCTGTTCCATAACCCACAATTTCCTCAGCCAATGAATTAAAGCGTGCTAATTTATTATGCATGTTTGGTGACCCTTTTACTTTTAAAACAAACAAAATCTCATTTCATTATGAAAATAGAAGAATCACGAGTTTATAAAACACACATAGTCTTTGTTGATACTAGAACTTCTGACAGATGTAAAAAAGTAAATTTATGCTGACTTAGACACAAAGTGGACAATTTTATATATTCATGCAACCAAAATTTAATATGCCTCTTTAAAAAAATATATCTCTAGAAAAACAAAAGAATCCACGATGAATATGTGTATGTACCTGAGGATATGCAAGATCGCAGAATTGGAGTAGATGGCTGAGAAATTTCATGAAGGGGGAATTGGGAAGGTATGAATGACCGCTGAAGACGCAGAGCAAGAACAATTACTGTGCCAGAGAGAGCCATGGCTGTGGCTAAGACCATCCCTTGTGAGTTTATCATTGGAGACGTGAAAGGAAATAATAATAATGAATGTTATGGGTCGAGAAAAAAGGCACTTCAATGGGGAGTTTCCTTTTGTAAGAGAAGGAATATTATAGTGGTGGTGATGATGTATGAGCAGCAAAACTGAATATTAAATTTGAATCAAATGGGGATTCTTATATAAAAGTAATAACCCTTTGGAGAGGTATGTTTAAGTTATTTATATTTAAAAATAAATATTTTTTTTAAGTTTTTATAAAATAAGATTTATTTTCATCATTTATTTATTTTATTGTTTATTTTAGTCTTTTATTATTTAAATCGGATCTATTTGGTATTTTCAACTTTCAAGATAGTGATCTTCCTAATTTTGGGAATAATTTTTAATGTTATTTTGACTTATTCAACAAATTAAATATTAAACATGGTAAAAAATATTAAACACGTCTAATGTTTGAACAAAAACAAGTCAATCATAAAAATTTATAAAAATAAATCTATAGAACAATTATAATAAATATATATATATATATTGTTCCGGCCACGGGGTGCACTAGGGTTTTTCCTAGGTCAAGCTTCAAAGTCAGAGCATTCAAAAGTGTCATCTGCCCTCTCAACTCTAGGGTTTTTAGTTTTATAGTTTCTCGTTTACAGGCTTCATGGGCCCCGAGAATGTAAGGATTTCCTTAACCGCCCTAATCTGGAAGATACGCGATGAACGCGGGGAGGTTAGATCGGGTTCCAACTGATTGGATCCAATACCGGAAGCCTAGTCGGACACCGACCGAGCTAACTCCCATAGGTAGGTGGGGTCGGAATAGTCCCGACACGTATCAATTCGGATATAATTCGGATACGAACCAAGTGACCCTTAGGGGGTCGGTCTAAGTTGGGACCGAGTTGTCGCTGGTAGAGAGGTTGAGTCGGAATCGGGCCGTGACGGTACACTTGCCTTCCAGCCCAGAGCCTATAAGGCGAGAGGGTTAAAGTGGAGTCGGTCTAAGTTAGGACCGAGCTTCGCTGGTAGAGAGGTTGAGTCGGAATCTGACCGTGACAGTACACTTGCCTTCCAGCCCTGAGCCTATAAGGCGAGAGGGCTAAAGTGGAGTTGGTCTAAGTTGGGACTGAGCTGTGGCTGGTAGAGAGGTTGAGTCGGAATCTGACCGTGACAGTACACTTGCCTTCCAGCCCTGAGCCTATAAGGCGAGAGGGCTAAAGTGGAGTTGGTCTAAGTTGGGACCGAGCTGTCGCTGGTAGAGAGGTTGAGTCAGAATCCGACCGTGACAGTACACTTTCCTTCCAGCCCTGAGCTTATAAGGCGAGAGGGCTAAAGTGGAGTTGGTCTAAGTTGGGACTGAGCTGTCGCTGGTAGAGAGGTTGAGTCGAAATCCGACCGTGATTGAACGGTTCCGTTGTGTGGAATTCGGTTAGAATCCGATTTGGGTGACGCTTAAGGTGCTGTATGTGTAACGTCTCCCAAGGCTTGTCTCTTCGCCTTACATTTGAAGGGACACGCATTTATTGTGTAGCGCCGTTGCCGCAGGAAAGGTATTATTACAGTGCCACGTGTCGCTTTGAGGTGTAGCGTGAGCGTTGGGGGCCCCAAAGGTCAGAGGATGTGGCATTTCACGCGCGTCCCTCCCACGCGCAACCCCTCATCTCTATAAATACCCCCTTTTTTACAAATTATTTTACCATTTCGCTTCCTCCTTTTCTTTTCTTGCATCTTCTCCGGCGAGCGTTTTTCCTTTTCCTCCACCCCCTCACGGTGATTTATAGCGGTCCTGAGGCACTTTGTAGAGGAAAGGAAGTGTTTTTTGAGATCTTGGTAGGTACGCCCAAATACTTATTGTGTTTAGTAGTTTGTTGTTTGTCTATCGCTGTAGTTGCTTGGCTTTAGGCTTTAAATCAATGGAGGTCGTAAATTATAAGGAGGTTTATGAATGGGTGAAAGATGATGTACTAAGGTGCGAGTCTTGCATAAATTCTTGGGCTATGATGGAAAGTTTTAATAGTGAACATGTAGTGAGTCGGGGTACTGATAACATCCTAGTTTGTGAACCTTGTGTGGATAAGGAGCCAGTGTGTATAAGTTCGGCCTCTGAACGTTTCACGTTTTATTATGCTACCCTGATTGCTAAACTTAAGGTTAGATGGCCCCTTATTGAGTGCGAGAAGGGAGTACTTAGGGCCTTAAACGTAGCCCCGACCCAATTCCACCCAATTAGTTGGGCCTTTGTGAGGGGGTTTGAAATCTTGTGTTCTAGCCTCAGTATAACCCCGACCTCGAGTAAATTCTTTTATTTCTTCGAAGCCCGTATTACTAAACGCAGTAGCTGGGTGTCGGTGGGTAGTGTGTCGGGCCGAGGGTTATTATCTCTATTTCAGTCGTCCTACAAGGACTTTAAGAAATCCTTTTTTCGCATTCGATGCCTCCCTGGGCATGAGGGTTTACTTGAGGGGTATCCCCTTTTCTGGAACAATAAACTGACCTCCTTTGGTGGGCTAAATCCCGAGTCACTACCGGAGAATGACCGAGAGGACGTTAGAAAACTTGAAGACCTGAAAACCCTTTTCAACACTGCGAAACTCCTAGATCTAGAAAATAGGCCCCAAGAGTTGAAAATATATATAGGTATTTGCGCTTGTTTGAATGTTGAAATTGTTTATTTCATTTCTGTTTTTATTTTTTGTTATTAACTATTGGGTGCATTTTTGCAGAGAGAATGGCTAGTCTTGGTACTCGCGAAATGATGAAGTTGTGGAAGTAGCAAAAGGCTTCCCATGTTGCTGGTGTTGGCGAGTCGGCCATCGAGAGGGTTCGCGAAACCGAGAGACCTACGCTAGTGGCGAGGGGTGTCGGTGAGTCGTCCCACAAGCGTCGTCGGGAGACCGACAAATCTATCTCGGTGGTAAATTTGGAGACGCTGATAGCCACCAAGGTGGATAAAGGCGATACCGAAGTCCAATCGGCTGAGAGGACTCTGAGTGCATGCCTCGGCGACAACTAGGATCCAGTGGATCGTGGCATTGAGCGCGGCAATGTGGCGTCTCTTTGGGACGAGAAGTTCAATCATTCGGCGCATATCCGTGGCACCGACTTGCTTGAGGGTGATAAAGAAGACTTGGAGAAGATGAGCGCGTTCTCCATTGCCAAAGGGATCGAATCTTTGACCAATCGCCTGTCCGCTCTCTCCCTTGTCAACGAGGATAAGATCCGAGGATTGGTTCGGGAGACTAAAGTTCAGGGAAAAAAGATTTCGTCCCTTGAGGAGAGCTTGACTAAAAGCAAAGCTGATTTTAAGTGGATATCTACCGAGCGAGACAAACTGCTCGAAAGTCGGCGTGCCTTTGACGACGAGAAGAAGACTTGGGCTGCTGAGAAATTGAGCTTGGAGAAGGAGTTGGAGGAACTCCGACTTGTTCGAGACAAGAGTGCCGATGCGGCGCAAGTTTTTGAAAATGAAATAGCCCACAATTTCCTCAGCCAATGAATTAAAGCGTGCTAATTTATTATGCATGTGTGATGACCCTTTTACTTTTAAAACACAAACAAAATCTCATTTCATTATGAAAATAAAAGAATCACGAGTTTATAAAACACATATAGTCTTTGTTGAGACCAGAACTTCCGACAGATATCAAAAAGTAAATTTATGCTGACTTAGACTCAAAGCGAACAATTTCATTTATTCATGCAACCAAAATTTAATATACCTCTTTAAAAAAATATATCTCTAGAAAAACAAAAGAATCCATGATGAATATGTGTATGTACCTGAGGATATGCAAGATCGCAGAATTGGAGTAGATGGCTGAGAAATTTCATGAAGGGGGAATTGGGAAGGTATGAATGACCGCTGAAGACGCAGAGCAAGAACAATTACTGTGCCAGAGAGAGCCATGGCTGTGGCTAAGACCATCCCTTGTGAGTTTATCATTGGAGACGTGAAAGGAAATAATAATAATGAATGTTATGGGTCGAGAAAAAAGGCACTTCAATGGGGAGTTTCCTTTTGTAAGAGAAGGAATATTATAGTGGTGGTGATGATGTATGAGCAGCAAAACTGAATATTATATTTGAATCAAATGGAGATTCTTTTATAAAAGTAATAACCCTTTGGAGAGGTATGTTTAAGTTAGTTATATTTAAAAATAAAGTATATTTTTTTTAAAGTTTTTATAAAATAAGATTTATTTTCATCATTTATTTTTTATATTGTTTATTTTAGTCTTTTATTATTTAAATCGGATCTATTTGGTATTTTCAACTTTCAAGATAGTGATATTCCTAATTTTGGGAATAATTTTTAATGTTATTTTGACTTATTCAACAAATTAAATATTAAACTTGGTAAAAATTATTAAACGCGTCTAATTTTTGAACAAAAACAAGTCAATCATAAAAATTTATAAAAATAAATCTATAGAACAATTATAAAATATATATATATATATATATTATTTTCTAGTTACGAGACATCTTTTTTGTAGGATTTTTTAAATTATGTTTATAGTTCTTTTTAAATTTAAATATAATTTATATTTTACAATTTTTAATTAAATAAATTTAATGAGACAAATTTCATGTATTAAATCAATAAAAATATATAATTTAAAAACATGTCATAACTAAAAGATAAAAATCGCAACAAATAATTTAAAAATTAAATAACTAAAATAAACTTTGAAAAAAATAAGAAAATGAAAATTTTAATTTATTTTTATATTTACATTTTTTGTGCAATATGATTATTATTGAGAAAATGAAAGAATGTCAATTTGTAATTAAATAAATAAATTTATTTAGTTTTTGTTTTATTTTGAACCAGGGAAATATGGGAAAACCTTTTCAATTCGGCAACTTTTTATTGCTAGGCCTTTTAGAATAAAAATAAATCAGTTTTTTATTTTTTATATTTTTATTTTATACTAATGTTTGAAGATTTCACTTTAAATTAATCTAGTTTGATTAGAAGTAAAGTTTAATAAAAAATTATTTTTGTTAAGAATTTTTGTTTTACTGTCCGAACAACAAAAAGAAATCTATTTGATTTTTATATGTTAAATATTTACCATTTTAATTTCAGAAATTAGTTATTAATTTTAATTTTAACTAAAATTTCAAAGTCAATACACATTTAATATAATAATTACATTCATAATTTCATTTTAATAAATTTAATAGAAATAATTAATCACCCTAAATCTATATTTTTACATAAAGCACATTAAATCGATAAATAATTATTACACTTTTTTTTATACATAAATGGTTAAAATAAGACAAGACATGAACTCATGTAAAATATTGTATTTTACTTTAAAATAAAAGATTTTAATATCACATAATAAAATTATATGACTGAGTCTATTGGATATAAGTTATAAATATTTTTAAAAGTTTTTTAACTAAAATTTAACAAAAAAATCAATATGTTTTTTTTATAAATATTTTTAAATTTATAGCCAAACAAACCATATGTCACATTAATTAACATAATATATATATATTTAATTTACAAGTTATATTTGGTAGAGACCGTTTTTTGTCGGAGGGACGTGTGAACGTGATTCGAGGGACGATTCGTATTTGGTCAATTTCATACTGCGTAGCGCGTCAGGATTATCATTTAATTGCAATTGACCATACAATTTTAGAATTTCGATTTGCTGCAAAATCAAGAAAAAGTGGTTATTTTATCTGATATGTTTTTGTTATATTTGTATAACTTTTCTTTTATTGGCCGATCCATATAAAGACAAAATGATACTTATAATCATCGCATTATGCTTAAAGTAGGGATTAAATCTTAATATTTGATTAAGAAATACAAGTAATAAATCACTTAAATAAACGATTTTTAATATGTAACATGTAGCATATATTCTTAAAAAGTTTAATATTATCATTTATATGTTTCTTTGATGATATTACAGGAGATTTTATGCGTGAAATGGTTTTACTTTTTTGAAAAACTTAAAGTCGGGAAGTTCAACATTCCATGTTTAGTAATTATTGAAAAAAAGAAGATTCTTAGAGAATCATTTTTAGTCCACTTTCTCACAAAAACATTTTCATAGGGGAGGTGAGAATCTAATTTTCCTAAGTTAGAGAGAAAGTTTTGTATATATAAAAAGACCATAATATATCTTTTTAAAATAAAAATATCTTTTTCTCTTCTTCTATTTCTCTTTTTCCCTCTCTATCTCTCTCCCCCTCCCCCTCCCTCTCTCTCCCGCCCCCTCCCTCTCCCTCTTTTTTTCTTTCTCTTTGTCTGTCAACTCTCACTCCCGCTCTCTCCCTCCCCCTTTTTCCCCTGCTCTCTCCATCTCTCTCTCTCTCTCTCTCTCTCTCTCTCTCTCTCCCTTCTATTTCTTTTTCTCCCTCTCTCATTCTCACTCCCCCTCTCTTCCTCTTTTCCTCTCTCTCTCTTCTCTTCTACCATATCTTTATTTCTCTCCCTCTTTCTTGCATCTTATTATTTCTTGATCTTGTCAATTTTAATAATATTATTAATGTCTATTTCATTTCTGTAGTTTAATAGTATTTGCTAATACTTTTATTTATTTACTTATTTATTTAAATAAAATAATATACTAAAGTTTTATCCTTCTTAATTATAATGTAGTATTTTTCTTTGTTTATTTATTTTATTGATTTTTTTATTTAAATAATTTTAACTATAATTTTTCCAATTTTTAAAATAATTTAATGTCATATTTGTAATAAGATTTGAGTAAATAAATATATTTAATGAGTTTATTTTAATAAAATATATTTCTATAAAAAATATTTATATACCCAAGAACATATTATTGTAATCAAACATGAAAGTATTTCATTTTTGGGAATTTCGTATGAATATTTCCAAGAATCTTTATGAGTAACCAAATAGATTTTAGCTATTCCCAATAATCATGATTGGATTTATAATTCCTAGGAATCATGATTCCTAGACGTGAAAAAACTTTTCTCCTACCAAATGCCCCTTTAAAGTATTTGTAACTGCTCACTTACAATGTGTGCCTACAAGCAGGTTATCTTATTTCTAGAAATGATACAAGCTTCATTCTCTTCCAACTAATGTTCTCTTTATTAATTATTTCATTTTTTTCTTTATTAATTATTTCATTCTCTTGTGTTTCTATATTATAATTTATAGTTTTATGTTGATTTTCATATAACGTTATCAACATGATAGTTTTTCCTTAATTGATCATATTCACTACTCAATTACAACTTGTTCAAAAAGGTTGTAAAGAATGTTATTTGTTTCGACCACAAGTTTGTTGGTATCGTTAGAGTCACTACATCCAAGGTATTATCCGCTTTGACGCTTGTTGGATCGTCATGATTTTGTCCTTAAAAAGGTGTCTCAATAGATTAATAAGGGAAGATGTTTATAAACTACCATTAACCCCAATTCCTAAGCAATGTGAGATTTTTTTAGGCATATCAGAACAAGCCTTCTTAGTCGCTGCTAAAGAGAAAGAGTGGCTTGGGTCATTTTTCTAGCATCAATGTTCTAATCATAAGTTTGTTGGCATTCGTAGGGTTACTATGAAAATAGTCTTATTTTTCAATTCATATTTCAAAGTTTGTTATATTATCTCTAATCATATCTTTCATACCATGTATTTGATAAAATTTGTCTTGTTTACATAAATGTGAAATTATTTATTTAAATGCAATGGGTCAGGTTCTTAAAGAAAGAAATTCTACAAACATTTTGCAATGGGTCTAGTGTGACACCTTTTACCTCACACGCATATATAATTTAAAATTCAAATCTCCAAATTCATGCATAATAATCAAAGTAAAAATCTCCAACATTAGGTAAGAGTCTCACATAACAAATTTTTAAACAAACTTCATTCTAAGATGGAAATTTAAAACTAAACATAATTCCTATCATAAGAATCAATAAAGAACATTCCTAGTCCAAGTCCAATGTCATATGTCCTATTAGAGCACTCCCAATATGTGGATTAAGCATCATCACCAACATCATAAATATCTTGATGAGTCTCACATGCAACAACATTTATAACAATATAACAACATGGAACAAGGGGAGTAAGAAAATTGCTCATGGCATGAAATAAAAGATGAATAGCCAAACATACTCAATACATTCTTTATAGCAATAGAGTCTATATTAAACATATTTGTAATGTTGTTAGAATAATAACTCATTCACAATACATCAAAGCATTAATCTCCAGATATAATTTAGTCACATGCGAATACGAGATGCAATGGACATGGACTCTCGATTTGCATGCATGTGGTTTCAATCACAAGATATGTACAATGCATATTTAAACAATTTGTCAATTTGCTAATTTGCATGCATATGATGCATGTCACATAGCCTCTCTATCACATCATGAATCACTAAACATACTCAACAATTTGGCATGCTTATAATTGTTACTAACAATAATTTTCCATACATACTATTTTTCATGCACAATTCAAGTATTTCATTCAATTAGTACATTAATAACATTCTTGTTTATCCCACACTCATCAAGCATCAGAATCACTTAACCAATCCATTTTGATTTCAGTAAAGAATTCATTTCATACACGGGGTGGCACCTGACAGGAACTAATCCACACCCAACGCAGCTCTTCTAGAGAGCACTCATAGCTCTCGAGATGGTTCATGCTCAATGAGCCTTAACCTACACCCAACATGAGTGGCATGTAGATATCAATTTTTTTTGGCACATCAAGATAAAGACTTGGAAGCTCCTAAGCTATAGAGAAGTGACCATAGAAGGCTCTAAGGAATCTCAATAAATGTCCAAGATGAATAAAGAAGAAAGCATATCATACCTTATACTATATTTTCCTAATCCAACCATTGAGATAGAAAAAAAATGTCTCAGGAGGCTATCATCCAAAGTTTATCATGATCCAATGGTTAATAAATTCACTAAGGGTAAAAAATCGTCACTAGTCTATGCATGACAATCTTTATTTTGGACATCATTTTTTCTATCATGGTAACTCTCATTACAGACCTAATTTCAAGGATCCCACCGTTGACGTTAAAGACCAATTTTTTTGAGAAG